AGTGACAATTTATTTCTGTCGAACCAGTTTTTTAATTTGTTTAATTCGTTTTCTACGGTTGTCAGGAGCTGTTTCAGATTTATTCCAGAACAGTAGAAAGTTGTATCATCAGCAAATAGGACACATTTCAATTGTTTTGAGACCTTGCAGATATCATTTATATATAAGATGAATAGTTTTGGACCAAGCACTGACCCCTGAGGAACTCCATGAGTGATTTTCAGTTGGTTCGTTTTTTTATTGTTGAGCTGCACGTACTGATATCTGTTATCTAAATAACTTTTTATCCATTTATAACCTACACCTCTATGGCATTAGAGATGTAGCTTTCTAGTTTATTCAGTAATATACTATGATCAATTGTGTCAAAGACTTTTTTTAGATCTAGGAAAATCCCAAGAGTAAATTCTTTGTTGTCTATATTAGTGGCTATTGCTTCCACAAACTCCATAACTGCCACTGAGGTGGTCCATTTTTCCCTGAAGCCATATTGATTCTCACTTAACAGCGCATGTTTTTGTATAAAGCTATCAAGTCTGCTCGAGAATAGTTTTTCGAATATTTTTGAGAATTGTGGTAGTAGTGATATTGGTCTATAATTTGTAAACAAATGTCTTTCTCCACTTTTATAAATTGGAATAACTTTAGCAATTTTGATTTTTGATGGAAAGATACCGGCTTTGAATGACAGGTTGCATATGTGCGTGAAAGGTCGCACTACATATTCTATAATCTGCTTTATTATTGTCATATCAATATTAAAGCAATCGGTTGACTTTTTATTTTTAAAAGTTTTTACAATATTTGATACTTCTTCTTGTTTTACAGCAGTAAGGAACATCGTGGAGGAGGTTTTTTTCGATGTATCTATCTATTTCAAACAAGTTTGTTGGATCAGGAATTTGTTTTGCTAGGTTACTGCCGATATTGACAAAGTACTCATTAAATTCAATTGCTATTTCTGCAGTTTTTTCAATAATAGTATTTTGCCTTTGATAAAATACTCTGGATAATCCACTTTTTTAGGACTATTTCTGATTACTTAATTAAGTATTTTCCATATTTCTTGTGTGTTACTTTTATTCTGCTCTAATAGTGCATGATAATGGTCTCTCTTACTGGTTCTTATAATATTTACTAGTTTATTTTTATAGGTCTTATATTTTTTTCTGCCTCTTCAGTTCTCAATTTTATAAACAATTTATATAAATAGTTTTTCTTTTTACATGCGTTTTCTATGCTTTTCATTATCAATGGCTTACTTGGGTCTTTATACTTTTTGGAGACTTTAGTAAATGGAAAATGTTTATCATATAGGGAGATTATGGTCGACTGAAATACATCAAACGCTGTATTTGGGTCTTCGTTTGAGTAGACCTCGGCCCAATTTTGTTTTTCTAGGTCTTGCTTAAAAGCATCGATGGAGCGTTGGGTTCTTAGTCTTATTTCTGATATGTGAGTGGTTGACTTTGTTTTTCTCTCAAAATAATTATGAAAAACTGCAAAGACAGGTAGATGGTCACTTATATCATTAATGAGAAGTCAACTTTCCATTTTATGATCAATCTTATTTATAAATATGTTATCTATTAATGTGGCCGTGTCAACTGTTATTCTACTAGGTTTCAGGATTACTGGGAAAAGGCTGTTGCTGTACATAGTATTTATAAAGTCAGTTGTTTTTTTGTGTCCATTTGGGTTTAATAAGTCAATGTTAAAGTCACCACACATTATTAGTGTTTTCTTATCGTTGTAGTAGCTGAGCATAGCTGTTAGTTTTTTATTGAATGTGTCAATACATGAACCTGGTGTCCTATAGATGCAACTTATGATGATATTTGATGCCTTTTTATTATGTATTTCAAGAGTTAGACATTCCATTCGGTTTTCTATTGTGCTTGTCAATCTCTCGATTTTACTGCATTTAAGTGCTTTGTCTACATATATTGCAACCCCTCCTCCTTTTTTGTTTTCCCTATTCTGCCAATAGGAGAACCGGTCATTGTCAGAACAGAACTAACTTCTTGCAGCATGGCTAATAATGGAACCTAACTGTTCTGTGTTAACAAATTCAAAAAGATACGGTGCACAAAGTACTTATTTTTTTCTCATCTGCTGGTTTGGTGTTTAATGTAAGCTTGTTATGTGCTGTCAACACTTTGATGGTGACACTGATATCAAAGTTATAAAATTGATTGTATTACCGGTAGTTTTTTTTTTTGAACTTTCACTTGAGCTTTATTTTTGAAAACATCATGAAAATAAATTCTCTCTCTTTCTCTCTCACACACACACACACACACACACACACACACACACACACACACACACCAGGGTCACTGTGTGTACACTACACTGAGATCCCATTGATGGGCAGACCTGCTGTGGAGGCAGACAAAAGCAGGGCAATTTGGTAACTCAATTGAGATTAGCAGCAGGCAGACTGTTCCCATTGTGGACGCAGTTGTGTCTATTACTGCAGATGATTAATACAGGCTGGCTTGGTATAGAAAACACTAAAGATCCTAATGTGAATGGTTATTTGCATTTGAGTTGACCCATCGTTTAGTTGGATGCATCAATGTTGGAAATAGACCTATTTCATTGTTTAACTCCTCTGATTATGACATTGAAGTTTAGAGTATTGTTGGCTCTGTCTTGTTGTGGTGGCAAGCATCAAGCTCGTCAGACACGGCACTCCATTAATTAAATACACGTCATGCAAAGTGTTTTCCACAAGCTCATTTTAAGTGTTGCATTGAGGTGACACTGCATTTAGTTTAACAAAGTTAAGCCACACTTGTGATCGGCGCCGGGTACACCCGCGCGACGCACATGTGCTTCCCCTTCGTTGAACGAGGCACCTAACATAACCCGAAGTGTATCAGATCGACACAATTGCCGCATGCCTCACCGGCCAAAAAGGCTGGTAGTTTTTTATCAACACTCATCAAAATTAATTTCAACCCATAGTTACCAGGTTGGTGGGCGTTAATTCAGAACCCTGACTTATTGTAATGCATTACCTCAAATACCGCAAGTCAGACATATAGTATTATTTGATTACTGAAAAGACAGCTGACTCCCAACATGCTCGACACTATGTAGCCTTAAGCTAATACAGGCATAGTCAATGCCATTTTAGCAAAACTCAGCCAAGCCGTCAACTTTTTCCGGATCATTACATCAAACAGTCTTTGCACACAGTTAGGTGGTGAAAGATGTTTGAATTTTGTAGGCCTTGTACGTCATTAATACGGTCATTTTATTTAATATATATATAAATAATATCTACTATATAATATCTATATATAAATAATATCTACTACTGTATGTGTGTTAGTATCCGTAATTTGTGTTTTTATTTACTGTTTTGACTTTCTTTTTGTGGTTTCATTATCATTAGTTGTTGCAGCTGTTGTGAAATGTGCTATATACTGTGAAATTCACAGTGTGAATAAAGTTGTATTGAATTAGATCTTTACATTGGAAGCCTGAAATTTGGCAAAAGGTCAAAGTTCAACAGAGGCTAACATTTGCCCATCTGAACACATCCAAAAAGATTGGAAAATTGGTAACATAGGTCATACAGTAAAAAATAGGAGACGAAAAGTTTAGTTTACTAGTCTTCAAATGGCTTATCCTCCCAATCCAAAGATCCAATATGGCTCACAAACAAATACTGATCACATGATCAAAAACTATTGGAGGACACCACACATAAATTTAGAACTCAAAAAGCCTTTTCAAGGATAAAACGTCTTTCAACGACCAATAACAGGCTAACTGCCTCGATTCAGCTTTTGCAGCTCTTTATTCCACTTCAAATGCATGGTGCTTTAATTTTTTAAACTTTCATTTAACCAGGTAAGGCAATTGAGAACCATTTTTCATACAATGACGACCTAGTCAAAATCGAAGTTCCCCTCATGATCTCTATTCAATGTCACCACCAGTAACTTTAGAACTAAATAGTCAAAACTAAATCCGTTGAATTCTGTTGGATTGGCCAAGCACCAACTCACACCAATCGTTATCGAAGGGGACTTTTAAACCACCACGTAAATAAACAGACAGTAGAAGAACGAAGCAAGCTGATTATGACACATCGGCTAAAGTTTCATTTGGATACACGAGACCCGTCTTACAAGGTTTAATTGGCTGGTCGTACGATAAAGCAAATTAGTTAACAAAGTACATTATGTAAGTTATATGTCGGGGGAGAGAATTACCTTCAGAGTTTAGAAAACTTTGATGCTCAATGAACAACTATATGATGACATGCTGATAGACGCTTCGACACGTCTATGTCGGTGGTTTGGATGTATTCTCTGAGAAGCGTTTCTGAACAGCTGAAAGAAAAACACTTCATCAAGCGTTCAAGACTGTGTTGATGTGTTGTGAGCGGTTACTACCCCTAGATGGCAGTAATGTGAGGATAGGGCATTCCGCGGCTGGTTGTTTACAGCAATATGCCACACAGTAGGTGTGCCGCACAAACTTGCCGGATCTACGTCAAGCTTTCCGCCATCTTGTGAGAGTCATTTGTCAACACTGACGTATGCTGCGTTCCATAAAGTGGGAAATCAGACTGATCGGATTGTCACAGCCTCATTACCTTCACGTAGTGCAAATCACGTTGTGTAACTGGCAGGGATGTGTTCCTCGAGCCAGTCCTTGGCCTCGAGGACCGGCTCGAGGACCGGCTCGAGGACCGAAGGTCGGTCCTTGGTCCTTGGCCTTGGCCTTGAGAGTCAATTCCTTGGCCTTGGGTTGCCGGTCCTCGGACACAATGAGGGATTAGAGCCTCGATGTCCACAGGTATTAAGTGGGACCGGGGATCGCAAAAACCACGAAGGAAACAGATAAATTCCATCCAGCTAAACGCATATTGATGGCTTAAGCTGGCGCTTTAAAAGGGGCGGGTCTGCCACTGACAGGCGACAGTTAGCGCAACGAATAAAGAGCGGCATCACAGTTAGTTTCAATCACGGTTTGTTCCGTTCGCGATCGGCAGTTTAAATAGCGTGTAAAGTCTTTCTGTAACAGTGGTGTCTTTTATGTAGTTATTTTTGCACAGTCGTCACGTTTGTGCGGTGGCACTATAATGTTTGTTTGAACCAACGATTTCTACGATGTTTGAACCAAGTAATTTGCGTTACAGCTGGAGTCAATAATGCCGGCACTTCACTTCCGGGTTTGGCCGTTGGGATTTGGAGTCCTTTTGCTCGATTCCAGTTATGTTTTTGGTGAATGCTTTCTCATGTTTGGAATAATGAATATTGATAATACATAGTTTAAAATCATGGTTGATTTAATTATTTTTTATTATTATTGTGAAGTGGAAGGTATTAAATTAATTAATGTAGTATTAGTGGGAGTGGTAATAATAGTAGTACTCAGAGAATGTTTAGAGATCAGCCATCTCGTTACCTCTGCGTCCCGTGTCCGAGACGCAAAATTAACCCACAGGACGCACAGTTCCAAACAATGTGCGTTTTTGGGACGCAAGGAAATTTCTCAGTCAAAACAAACAAACAAACAAAAAAA